AACCCAAAAACCCTAAACCCTAACCTATGCCAATCCGACCCCGACCCCAGGGCTTTGCGGATTCGAATTCATCGGTAGCTTCAAACCCTGACCCCGAACTCCGCGAGCCTGGACCTCCAACTCGAAGTCCTGGACTTAGTGGCTGAGTAGGTAACCTTCAACTTAGGGTTTAGGGGTTTAGGGTTTAGGGTTTAGGGTTTAGGGTTAAGGGGTTTACTATAACTCAAAAGGTTAACCGTTTTTGGGCTAGGGTACTCAGCCAATACGTAGACGATGCTGCAGGACATGCCGGCAGGCCACATCCACTTCGCCCGGCTTCCGGACATGTGGGAAAGAACTCTGACCGTGGCAGCCTTGGAGTGGCGATGTCTATCAGCATAGTACTATGTTGCATGGTGGGAGTGGGGGAATCAAAGCCTACTTAAAGGATCATGGGACTTAGTAAGTAGGGTTATGATTAGGGTAACTATACTTATAACCCCAGTTAAGGGACTTATAACCGTACTTACTAAGTCCCATGATCCTCCAAGTACATGCCCAAAGCCCTAAACCTTAAACCCTAAACCCTAAACCTCAGACCCAAAAGGCTTTGAGATTGAACGTCCGTGATGTACTCTGGGTTGGGGGGCACTTGGCAGACGCTTGCAGCGACGAGGTCGGATCTTGAAGACCAGGGGTTTAGGGGTTTAATAGCAAAGAGCCTGGGTTCAAAAAACAAAAGGGTTTAGGGTTTAGGGGAGGTTTTAGGCTCCTTCATGCTGAAACCCGCGATTTCGAAGTCCTAAACTCCTGAGGGAAGAGGACGCGCGTGCTGCCCAGTTGCTGGTACCGTTATGTACAGCACAAGTACAGCACAGTATAATCCGAAACTCTGTGGTAACTGCAGAATTGGCATCCCATGCGAAGCCGCAGGCCCTCGTCAAAGGATCCGTGCTAACTTCATCCCAGCAACCTTCAAGGAGTCGCAGCATAGACCAAGCCCAAACCGCTGCCTCCAAACCCCTGAGCCAGCCCTCCCGACTCGTTTGAAAAACCCTGGTACCCAGAGACTCCAATACCCCTTAAGGAAAATACCATAAATCTTCTTAGGGATCCTACTATAATTTAAGGCATATTCCTTAATTAAGGGTATTGGAGTCTCTGGGTAGAAAGCGTTATCGATGGTTTCCACTACTGCCACCCTCCAAAACCCAAAACCCTCCAAGCAGACCTGCAAACTGTATCACCCCGACCTGCGACTATGGATCCTCGCCTGGCTTGTCCGAGTTGTGAGAGCGTAAACTGCGTAAGCCCTAAACCCTAAACCTATGTACCAGCGGCCTTCGTCCCAGCTAGGCGGGAGGCAAAAAACCCTAAACCCTCAACCCTAAACCCTGCACTTAAAACAAAGCCCTAAACCCGAGCTTGAGGGACCCTTTGGCTCGCAGGCCTCCTAAACCCTAAACCTCCCCAGAGACCTCCAAAGCACCACAGGCCTTAGAACCACGGTTTAGGGTTTAGGGTTTAGGGTTTAGGGTTTAGGGTTTAGGGTTTCTTGAACCACTCGGATGATAAGCATTGTGAGTGTCAGGATTCTTTAGTTACTGTCTTAGACCCTAAACCCCAAAAGCCCCAAAGCCCAAGACCCCAGACCCTAGACCCAACACTCGAAAGTCCAAAGCCCTAACCCTCAACCCTAATGCCCCTTATGGATCCCTTGCATCGGAACCCTATTACAGAACCCTGTAGTGCCCTTAAAGGAACAACCCTAAACCCTAAACCCCCCTATAGCAAGAGACCTTGCCAGGCTTGTCCGAGTGTGAGTGTCAAAACCCTGAACCCTAAACCCTAAACCCTAAACCCTAAACCCCCCCCTATAGGTTTGTCTGGAGACCTTGGAGCCTCCAAGGTGAGCTCTGCGGGGAAGACCTTCGGCATCACCGGCTGGCAAATCGGTGGCTGGGATCGGAATCAGGGTTTAGGGTTTAGGGTTTGAGGTTTAGGTTTTTTAGGGTTTAGGGTTTGAGGTTTAGGGTTTTTAGGGTTNNGTTTAGGGGTTTTGGGTTTAGGGCTCTAGGGTTTAGGGGTTTAGGGTTTAGGGGTTTAGGGTTCAGGGTTTAGGGGTTTAGGGGTTTAGGGGCTTGTGGTTTAGGGAATCGTCTTTGTTTTCGCCTTGTTTCTGTGGGGTAGAAATGCTGCTTATCTTGTGCGTCAGCATTGGTTTCTTCTTCGTTTCTATTTGCATTTATTGACGGGGCTTTCGTGGGTTGTAGGGTTCTTCGCAGGGATTCTGGCAGGGGCGGTCTATGAACCAGGGGCCTGCAGTAAGGCCCAAACAAGCGAACGATCCATGAGTGCTCCAAGTCCTTGAAGCCCCACCCCGAAGCCGAATATAAAGCAACCTCTACTAGGTTCCCCAGTAGTACCCTTTTTTTCCCCTTTGTCCTTTTAGGTTCCCCTATTAAAACCAAATAGTAGGAAAAAGGGTACCCTTATTATTAAGGGGCTACTGAGGAACCTAGTCTACACCGCCGCTGACCTCTCCTCTGCAGCCACAAACGGCCTATACCCTAAACCCTAAACCCTAAACCCCAAACCCTAAACCCTAAACCCCAAACCCTAAACCCCAAACCCTATACCCTAAACCCTAAACCCTAAACCCCAAGCCCCTAAACGAGAAAGGTTGGCTTATTGGCCCCTCCTCTTGGATGGAGCCGATCCAGCGATTTATGCCAAACCTTCAGCTTCCTGGCGTCAGAGCGGCCTGGGTACACAGAGATTCCAATACCCCTTAGTTAAGGAATATACCTTAAATGATAGTAGGATCCCTAATTTAAGGTACATTCCTTAATTAAGGGGTGTTGGAGTCTCTGGGTAACATAGGTCTTGGGAGTAGTTGAGCATACTGCGCACCAATAAGGGGGCTATGCCCGGATAGAGCCATATGCCTATATGCTAGTATGTAGTCAGACCTCACATGGGTAGTTCTCCAAATTAGGGTTCCTGTCTATGTTGGTCTCAAAAACAGTATGGCACCCTGATAGAAGGGGCCCTATCAGGGACCCTAATTTAGAGCTTCTGTTTGGCCTCGTTTGCGGGGGTTCAGGCTTTTTGCTTCGGGGCTTTGAGTGGAACGTCCAGGAACTTGCGGCGTTCAGTTCAAGAGGGCATAATTTGGGGGCCGGAGTAATTAGCACCGGTATGCCTCCATAGTTGCCATACAGCAAATCCCGGGACTCAACACCACAACCCAGTGCTAATTGTTGAGACCTACAATATTCCCCTCCGCCCGATGGTCTTTCTGAAAGTTAACTTTGGATCATTTCGGGGTTGGGCGCTTGGTCAGTTTTGCAGCCATGTACAGCTTAAGGTCTAAGGGTTTAGGGGTTTAGGGTTCAGGGTTTAATTCAGGCGATTGCACAAGTCCTGATGCAAAAAAGGGTTTAGGGGTTTAGGGTGAGGCTTGAGGGTTCTGGCTGATAGGAGCCCTTGTGAAATAAGGGAAGCAGCCCTGAACCAGGGCTCGGGGTAGCGTTCCGCATCATCCTTCAAGCGATCAGCTTCTCCCCGAGAGTTGCTACCCAGACCCCCAAAAGGATCTAGAAAATAGATCCCCTAATTAGGGACCCTAACTACTAAAGAGTACTTTATAGGAACCCCCTTAGGGGATCTATTTTTTAGATCCTTTTGGGGGTCTGGGTAGTGATAGTGGAATGATTTTGGGCTCACGGCGAGAGAATAGGGGTTGAGGATTTAGAGCGTCGCTTCCGGAATCCTGGGGTTAGCATCAGCTTGGCTTCGGGTGTCCAAGTCCTGCAGGTTTAAATGACGAGGAGCACGTGATTGCAGGAAGGAGCTTATGAAGCAGATGTTTCTGAGATACTTGTTTGAGCTTTTGAGGCTCCGGAGGATCGGAATAGAACTGCAGAGTCTTGGAGGCCAAGAGATTGCAGCACCCCACCAAGAGGAGGTTGCTTTAGCAAGGTTACTAACCTGAAGAGGGGAAACGATCGAATTCTATTCCAAGTTAAGCCCCACGCCCCAACCTCGAATTTCTGCGTCCTCAACGTGAACCCTAAACCCCACACCCTAAACCTTCTTTTTTTGCCCGAAACCTTAGGTTCTGTGCGCCAACACTGACACAGCGGGCCCTGTGCCGGGTTCTGCGGCAAGCTGCCGAGGTTGCTGTTCGTGGTAAAAGACGTGTTTGTCGTTGCGAAATCTCAGGATTGCGAGTTTGGGGCTTAAGGCTTAAGGTCATGTCAGCCATGGTCGAGTTCCAACCGAGTTCCTTGCATAAGCGGAAACACTCCCAGCAACCAAGCAGCACCAAAATATGGAGGCCAGTCCCCTAAAACCTAAACCCTTGTACATGGATAAAAGTGAATTCTGGGGCTTTTGTAAGAGAAGGGGCTGAGGTTGAAAGGAGCCACCGCGCAAAACCGCGAGAGAAGGCAGTGCACTTGCGTACGTGAGCCCTGAACCGCCATAATATCGAGGCCTTCAGAATAGGGTTTCTGGGGTATAGTAACCGCCATAATATAGAGGCCTTCGTAATTAGAATAGGGTTTCTGGGGTATAGTAAACTATCAAAATTTTAAGGAACCCCCAAAACCCTATTCTAATTATTAAGGCCCCTAACATAGAGCCCTATTATAGATCCCTTTATAGGGCCTTTTAAGAATCCCTTTAAAGGAACCCCCGAAACCCTATTCTAATTCTTAAGGCCCCTACATTAGCTTGTTCTGTTCTTGTCAGGTCCAGGCCTCGAGCTGTAGAACGCCATAGCTCAACGACAATACCCAGACCCCCAAAAGGATCTAAAAAATAGATCCCCTAAGGGTTCCTATAAAGTACCCTTTAGTAGTTAGGGTCCTCCAATTAGGGGATCTATTTTTTGGATCCTTTTGGGGGTCTGGGTACTGGGGGCAATTTCAATCTAGGACATTTTCAGGTGGGTAGTTACCGTTATAGGAGTCTTATAGAAGGTCTATATACGTTATGGAAGCCTTATAGAAGCCCTATATACCCTAAACTCCCCATCTGTAGTTTCCTTTAATTCAACGTACCTTGATTTCTCGGACTCCGGGCTCCGAAAGGGATCCTCCGGTACTGCAACTGAAAGAGCGTCCCTCCGCCAGCCCTACAGCGGCGTGGAGTCCTACTACGAGTGGTTGCGACAGGAGCGGGTTGGTCAGGTTAGGGGGTTTAGGGTTTAGGGTTTACTGTTTAGGGGTTTAGGCTTTAGGGGTTTAGGGGTTTAGGGTTTCTACAGGGTGCGAACCCCGATCTCTACACTCTAGATTGACTCTAGCTCTAGATGCTAGATTGCTTCAACTTTGCTGCGCTGGGGTTGGCAGATGTGTCACTGTTCGAGGCTGCGCGACGGAAAGCGTAAGTCGAACCAGACGGTCAATCCGAAAGGCTTGAGAAGCTCACCCGCCCCAAAGGTTACATCTGCAAGCCCCAGAGGCAGCAAAATCTTCACCCTAGACACGCGAACTTCGTTCATAAAATCGAATCATTCCAAGCCCCATCCTTTAAACACCAAGCCGCATCTAAGCCACAAAACCCGAGAACCGACACTCAAGCCTTTTAGGCTTTTTAAATTTGGGGTTCTTGCTAATTAACCTCCGGCCGCGGTGAGTGGATAGGGCTTAGAGTTTCAGGCCTACAGGTTTAGGAGAGTAAAGTTCAGGGTTTAGGAGAGTAGGGTTTAGGGTAGGAGAGTAGGGTTTAGGGTAGGAGAGTAGGGTTTAGGGTTTAGGAGAGTAGGGTTTAGGGTTTGGGAGAGTAGGGTTCAGGGTTTGGGAGAGTAGGGTTTCCGATGAAAGAAGGGGAGACTCAACTGCAACATTTTCGCGAAGTGACGAAGTAGAGTAGCAGGCCTCTGGGAGGCGGATAGACCCAAGATAAGCCCTGGGCCCCAAACCCTGCTCGGGAGCACCCTGGGCTCATCACGCTTGATCAAGAACCCGCAAACCCTGGTATGTTCTTTGCTGGGGGTATATTTCTTTGAAGGGGTTTGTTGCAGGGTTTTAAACTGTGTTAAGGGAATGGCGGGTTTATTCAATGGGTGAGGTCGACCGAGGTTCGAGGGCATGTCGATTTCAGGCCGGGCCTAAAGCGGCTAAGCTCAGGCTTGCAGCAGCCGGCAAAAGGCACCCGAATCCCTAAACCCTAAACCCTAAACCCTAAACCCTAAACCCGTATACCTCGCCTGGATTGTCCGAGTGTGAGAGCCGAAACCCAAAACTCGAAGCCTTAAGCCCGCTAAACCGCACGCCAGAAACCC